AATAAATTACATACAATCAATATTACAGGGCCCTTTCCTGCACCTCAGCTCTATTTGCTGAAACACAGACTAGTAGTTCTGGTCTCTCCTGACTTTTTGGCGTGTCTTGCACTGGTATTGCAGTGGGATTGTGTTCATGACTCTGAATAAAAGTTTTAGAAACAGTTTCTGGGGATAGAATCATACAACTGTTCAAAGAAAAAAGAGTTAATAGCACAAACCCATTCCAAACAGTTTGTGGAGTATTTCTGATATACTTTCTAAAGCTTAAGCCATTAAGCAGTAAAGTTACCCCTGCTCCTTCCTGTAGAGATTCCAACAACTCTGCTGCTGGCTTTCAATATACAAGCATCTCATGAACGTTTGGTTTGTAATTGTATTACAATGAAACATTTTGGCCTAACGAATCTTCTTTCAGAGAAGATTTCTCAGGTTAGAGTGGGACTTAAAAAGTAGCATATGTAAACAGAATCTGAATGAACTCTCCTCTGACAGCTACCGGGAAGGGGGAGAGACTTGAGGAGCAAACTGTATTTACATAAACAACCATACTCTCCCTAGATATCAGTAGATAGAGAGGTGTTGCTCAAAGTGTTCAACTTTGGCTGGTGTACAAATCCCTTAGTACTGAATCCAGGGGTAGTGAAATACTATTATTAATGTTAAGTATCAAAGGAGTAGCCGTGTTAGTCTGGATCTGTAAAAGCAGCAAAGAGTTCTGTGGCACCTTATAGACTAACAGACGTATTGGAGCATGAGCTTTCGTGGGTGAATACCCACTTCTTCCGATGTTATTAATATTGTTGTCTTTATTGTATGAATAAAGGGGAGCAAAAGTGTGCTCAACCTGTCCCAAATGAGGTGGTCACCTTCAGCTGAAAGTATCTCATTAAGCCAGTGGCTCGAATGCCAGAGCCCTGTGAAGGTAAGAGGACTGGGGACAGGTATCCCAGGCAGGAGTTGTGGGCTCTCTTTCAGGGTCCCCGGTATGGTTTAATCTGTTCCTATGCACCATTCAAAGATAGAGCTGAATAGACTCTATTGGGAGCCTTTTTTATTGTAAGTGCTGAAATGAGAGCTGCAATCACTGGTGGTGGAAAAGCATTTCTGCCCAGCCTTCTACAAACTTACAGTCACAAAGAGCTATCAGTCATTAATAGATAGACGTGCAGAGGTCACAGCAGAGGCAGGTGGCAGCAGAAGGTATCTGACAGTCAATTGACTAGAGTGGAGCAAGTGGCTGATGGGGCAGCCAGCAGAGAGGAGCCATGGCTGGCGGGGCGGCCAGCCAGAACAAGTGATCAGATGGCAGGTGGGAGGTGAATGATGCACCTCTGAGCCCCAGGCCCTCACTGAACAACGACAACCACAATGAGTGGGGTGTGGGCACAGTAAAGGAACTTTAGGTTGTAGAACTCAAGAGCACGAAGCAGAAGACGTGTCCTGCTCACAGTTTTAGGATTATGAATCCTGCTTGTGGCACTTTCCCTAATTAATGTCGGGAGACTTCTCTCCTTTTATTAAAAGTTTCTTTTCTACACTCGGACTCTGTGATTGCGAGAGGGAAGTATTGCCTCTCAGAGGTGCCCAGGATGGTGTGTAATTTTTCCTGGTTACTGGGTGAGAGCTCGGGCCTCTTCTTTGTTGTATTATTGAAAAGGAACCCCTAGATATTGAAACTGGCTCTGGTAGCTGCCGGCTATGTCTGGCAGAAGGGTTACATGTATGTCGTCTGGATTTCTCCCGAACCTGAAAAGATCAAAACATCTCACCCTTCAGTCAATCGCTTGTCAGCAAACAAAAGTCTAGTAGCTCCTCTGTCCCTGAATTAATAGCTGACTGGTTCTCCTCAGGTTCTATCACTCTGTAGCCTCTATTTGGAGTGGTAACAGGCATTGGGATCAGTGTAGAAAACATTAATTACCTGGGCTCTAACTCTCTAGTACATAGTAAACCCAGCACCTGTTTTTCAGGCATGATGCAGGTTTTCAGGAAGTGCATTTAAAAGTCAAATGCAAGTGGAACTTCATTTCCCATATGAAAGTAGTGTATTGCTCTCTGACTGCCTCTGACCTGTATTCATAAAATCCATAGCAAACGGGAACGGCATTGGGACAGACATGGAGCTCAGCTGCCATAATGAATGTGTATGTTAAACCCAGCTCTTTGAATGTTTATGTTATGGCTAGTTCGGGTTAACTATTAGCATGTTTATGTTATGGCTGTATTGGGTGAAACCAGTTTGGCTCTTCTTAGTTTAACAGGAGGCTGCTGGAAAACAAGCAGGAAGGGAAGTAACAGCTCAAGAAAAGCCATCGCTCAGTCAGCACCCCAGGGAGATTGAGAGATGACACCGGAGCTACAAACTGGGAAGAGCCTATTTCTGGCCTCTAGCCACATCACACAGCTTGTTTTGACAGCGCTGGGAGTCTGTCCAGAGCTGGGGCAGCTGTTGTGAGAATCTCTTCAGACTGACAGGCACAGACAATGCTGGGGAAGTCATAAGGCCTTCGGCCTGCCTGGGTCCCCATCAGAGTGGGAAGGCTTGGGGTCAGAGACATGTACAGACTGTTGTTTGAAAACCCTCTTATTCTCCCATATTACACTTTATTCCTGCTGTTCAGATTAAACAACATTCTGGTTTAAGAAGGGTGGCTGGTCACTCGTCTCACCACTACTCACAGAATCCCAGAGAGAAGAAACACAGGTGCTGGACCCACTTGGACCAACTCAGCAAGCACAGCTGACCTGCAGTGTGCGGTACCCCAGGGCCCAGTCTGAGGGTGGGTGGATCGCAGAATTCCACCCCATGAGAGGGAAGGCTATGAGGCCTGACACCTGGCACTTGGACACCAGAGAGGGTGCAGAGATGTCGGTAGCCCTGAAACTCTGAGCGGTCTCTATAGGGCAGAAAGGCTGGAGCCCCCAGACAGTCAGGAAACAGAAATATGCCTCATCGGCCCTATTACCACAGAGCAACGCAGCTTTCAATTCCTGTGTAAACAATTAAGCCAGATAAAAAGACCTTTGAAAATGTATTTGCTGAAAAAATTTCTAGAAGCAAATAAACCTGGAGGTGATTTGGGAACTAGTCACTGATATTCCATGGGGTCTCCTCTCGCTCAGCCCCTGGCAGGATCGGACCCAGAGCACACGGAAACTCTAGAAATGGTACCCCTTGAGAAATCCTCACACAGGCCATTGGGGTTTTAACACTCTGTGCTCGCTTTGACTATCAGGTTTCTGTGTAGATTGAATGACCCACCGTGGAGCATGGGCAGATGCAGGGGAGCTACCTAGCTACTTAGTGCTGCCTGCCCTCCAGCCCCTTCACTGAGTCACCCCGACAGCCCAGCTGAGTTTGCTATTGCTGCACAGAACGTATGCAAATGGACACAGCTTGCAGCCTTTCCCCTTCACTTCACATTTTAAAGATAGTGAAACCTGCCAACGTACCCAATTCCTGCTAGACACGGAGCTGCTGATACCAGAGGTCTTCACCATAAAGGACAAGGAGTCATTGGAGAGGTTGCATGGGCAGCAGGCAGTATCTGTTCAGCTAGCGAGGGAACTGCCTTTATGAAGTATCCCTGCACATTCCCTTGGAGGCCACTTGGCCATCAGGGAATCTCAAAGGCTTGGCTTAGTGTGCATCAGCTGTAACCTCGTCACAGCCAATGGCAAACTGCAGGAGGCCAAATCACAAGGGATGTGTAGTGATGCTTCCCAAATGGACTGCAGCACAAAACCTGCTGCAGGCTCTATTTCTGGAATCCGGGCTTGTCATCACTGTTCATGTGGTTCTGATTAGTGACATGGCTACCTTGTGGGCGGCCGAGTGGTAACGATGATGCTCTCAGAGCTGTGATCTTGCAGAAATAAGTGATCCTTTCCCTGTCGTCTGCACCCTGCTTCTGGCAGTCAAAGGTTTAGAGACATCCAGAGCATGGGGCTGCGTCCCTGACCATCTCAGCTGATAGCTATTTATGGACCTATCCTCCATGAACCTATCTGATTCTTTTTTGGACCCAGTTATACTTTTGGCCTTCACAACCTCCCTTGGCAATGTGTTCCACAGCTTGGCTGTGCGCTGTGTGAAAAAGTACTTTCTTTTGTTTATTTTAAACCTGCTGCCTATTAACTTCATTAGGTGGCCCCTGGCTCTTATAAAGGGGTAAATATCACTTCCTTATTCACTTTTTCCACTACTGTTGATTTCATAGACCTCTGTCATATCCTCCCTTAGTCGTCTCTTTTTCAAGATGAACATCCAAGTCTTCTTAACCTGTCTTCATATTGAAGCTGTTCATACCCCTAAACATTTTTATTTCCCTTCTCTGTCCTTTTTCCAATTCAAATATATCTTTTTTTAATATGGGGAAACCAGAAGTGCACACAGTATTGAAGTTGATATTTTCTGTCCTATTATCTATCACTTTCCTAATGCTTCCCAACATTCTGTTCGCTTTTTGACAGCCGTTGCACATTGAGTGCCTGTTGTCAGAGAACTATCCACTATGACTCCAAGATCCCTTTCTTCAGTGGTAACAGCTAATTTTGATCCTATAATTTTGTATGTATCGTTGGGATTATGTTTTCCAGTGTGCACTACTTAGCCCACAGGTAAGTGGGGAACATGGAGACCTGGGAGATGGGTCTGAAACAAGAGGGAGTGTGGGCTATAATGGCAGAGAGAAAGGAGGGTCAGGGCAAAACTGGGAGGCAAGATCGAACCAGTATCTTAGATGTCTATATACAAATGTGAGAAGTATGGGTAATAAGCAGGAAGAACTGGAAGTGCTAATAAATAAATACAACTATGACATTGTTGGCATCACTCGGTGGGATAATACACATGATTGGAATGTTGGTGTGGATGGGTACAGCTTGCTCAGGAAGGATAGACAGGGGAAAAAGGGAGAAGGTGTTGCCTTATATATTAAAAATGTACACACTTGGACTGAGGTGGAGATGGACATAGGAGACGGAAGTGTTGAGAGTCTCTGGGTTAGGCTAAAAGGGGAAAAACAAGGGTGATGTCATGATAGGGGTCTACTACAGGCCACCTAACTAGGTGGAAGAGGTGGATGAGGCTTTTTTTCAACAACTAACAAAATCATCCAAAGCCCAAGATTTGGTGGTGATGGGGGACTTCAACTATCCAAATATATGTTGGGAAAGTAACACAGCGGGGCACAGACTATCCAACAAATTCTTGGACTGCATTGTAGACAACTTTTTTATTTCAGAAGGTTGAAAAAGCTACAAGGGGGGAAGCTGTTCTAGACTTCAAATAGGGAGGAACTCGTTGAGAATTTGAAAGTAGAAGGCAGCTTGGGTGAAAGTGATCATGAAATCATCGAGTTTGCAATTCTAAGGAAGGTAGAAGGGAGTACAGCAAAATAGAGACAATGGATTTCAGGAAGGCGGATTTTGGTAAGCTCAGATAGCTGATAGGTAAGGTCCCATGGGAATCAAGACTGAGGGGAAAAACAACTGAGAGTTGGCAGTTTTTCAAAGGGACACTATTAAGGGCCCAAAAGCAAGCTATTCCACTGGTTAGAAAAGATAGAAAATGTGGCAAAAGACCACCTTGGCTTAACCATGATATCTTGCATGATCTAAAAAATAAAAAGGAGTCATTAAGGTCTTGGTTACACTTGCGAGTTACAGCGCTGTAAAGCCGCCCCCAGCGCTGTAACTCACTCCCCGTCCACACTGGCAAGGCATTTGCAGCGCTGTATCTCCGTGGTCGCAGCGCTGCATGTACTCCACGTCCCCAAGAGGAATAGCGAGTATTGCGCTGCCGCTGCAGCACTGCGGCGTCAGTGTGGCCGCCCAATGCGCTGAGAATGGCCTCCAGAATTATTCGGCAGTATCCCACAATGCCTGTTCTAGCCTCTCTGGTCATCAGTTCAAACTCTACTGCCCTGGCCTCAGGTAACCAATCCTGTGACTGACCCTTTACATTCCCTGGGAATTTTAAAAATCCCCTTCCTGTTTGCTCAGCCCGGCATGGCGTGGAGTGCTATCAGCGAATCTTCCAGGTGACCATGCCTCCACGCGCCAAGTGAGCCCCATCATGGAGCAATGGCGAGTTGCTGGACCTCATCAGTGTTTGGGGGGAGGAAGCTGTACAGTCCCAGCTGCAATCCAGCCGTAGGAATTACGATACCTTCAGGAAGGTATCAAAGGACATGATGGAAAGGGGCCATGACCGGGACGCCCTGCAGTGCAGGATCAAAGTGAAGGAGCTGCGGAGTGCCTACCGCAAAGCCCGTGACGCAAACAGCCACTTGGGTGCTCCCCCCGCGACCTGCCGATTCTACAAAGAGCTGGATGCGATACTTGAGGTTAACCCCACTCTATTTCGAGCACCACCATGGACACTTCAGAGCCAGTGTCGGGGGGGGGGGAGGAGGAGGAGGAGGAGGAGGAGGAGGAGGAAACGGGAGTGATGGTGGTGGGCTGGATGGAGATGGAGATGGCCGGAATCCCTGGAGCCATGCAGCCAGGAGCTCTTCTCAAGCCAGGAGGAAGGTTGCCAGTCCCAGCGGCCGGTACTTGGTGGAGGACAAACAGAAGAGCAGGTTCCCGGTAAGCGGGTTTTTTTCAGGAAGAAATTTTTTCGGTGCGGGCTCTTTGGGAGAGGAGGGTTAGGCATGCATGCCTAGATGTGGAATAGTGAATTGATGTGGTTTATTACATCGCGGTAATTGGCCTCGGTAAACTCTTTGAATGTCTCATCCAGAACGTGTACAATGCGCTTGCACAGGTTTATCGGGAGAGCCACCGTGGTCCTTGTCCCAACCAGGCTAACGTGTCCGTGCCACTGTGCCGCAAGGGGCGGGGGGACCATTGCTGCACACAGGCAAGCTGCATATGGGCCAGGGCGGAAGCCGCATTGCAGTAGAAGACCCTCCCTTGCTTCCCAGGTCCCCCTCAGCAGCGAGATAGCGTCCAGGACGAGGTCCTGTGGAGAATGTTGGGACAGTGTTCAGTGTAGGTGCCCCCTAAAGCTGTTGGATTTCCCAAGGCACAGAAACCCAGAGGACAGTGCAGGTCTGAAACAATCAGTCCCCCTTACTCACCATTTTGAGGATCCCATGGGATATGTGTGCTCTGTTTCGGATGGGAAAATTATGCAATTGTGCAGACCTTGTGTGTTTTCTACTCCTTAAGTGCGGGGGAAATCATTACTCTGTCTGCTATAAACAATGCTGCCTCTGTTAAATGTTGCATTTTGCCTATACAGCTGCATCAACCTTGAGACCTCAGCCGTCCCTCTTATCGCCTGCTCAGAGACTGCAAAGACTCAGGAAGAGACCGTGAAAAAGCAAAGAAGACATGCTGCAAGAAGTGATGTGGCAATCTAGTAAAGAGAATGAGAAAGCACAGAACTGGAGGGAGAGAGAAAGCAGGATCCGCCAGGAAAACGCAGTGCACCGGCAGCAAAGCACGGAGCACCGGCAGCAAAGCACAGATCAGCTCAGCTCATAAGCATCCTGGAGTGCCAAGCAGATGCTATCCAGGAGCTCGTAGCCATGCAGAAGGAGCAGTACCGCAAACGCAAATGCCACCCCCCGCCACAGCCCTTGTCCCAAAACTTTTTCTGTTGTGCCCCACTGTCACCTCCAACCCACTTTCCCCAACTTCCGTGTTCTTCACGCCACCCACTGCCTCCAACACCAGTATCTTCACCACCCAGCCCTGAAAACCACAACCCTTACCTTCTGCACTCAACCCCCATCACCATGCAGTATAGCTATCCTGAAGTGCAGCACTCACTGCACAGCACACCAGACAGGACATACGCGAATCTGTGATTGTACTGTTCCCCACTCCACCCCCTTGTTTCTTTTCAATAAATATTTTTTTCTTTTCAATAAATGGATTTTTTGGCTTTGAAAACATTCTTTATTATTGCATAAAGTAAAAGACTCCTTAGCCCAGGAAATAAACAGGCACTGCAAATCTCCTTGTCTGCTTAGCAAACACTGATTCCTAAAGACTGGAACTACTGCAGTTCACTCCGGTGCAGGGCACCAGATATCACTGCTGGTTTTCAGCCTCAAATTGCTCCCTCAAGGCATCCCTAATCCTTGCAGCCCCACGCTGGGCTCCTGTAATAGCCCTGCTCTCTGGCTGTGCAAATTCAGCCTCCAGGTGTTGAACCTCAGAGGTCCATGCCTGAGTGAAGCTTTCACTCTTCCCTTCACAAATATTATGGAGGGCACAGCACACAGATATAACTGCGGGGATGCTGTTTTCGGCCAAGTCTAGCTTTGTGACGGGTTGGATCACAGAAACCCCCTTGGGAGCTGCCACCCGATGTGCAAAGACTACCCCTGCTCCTGTTTTCCCTGCCAGCTCAGGACTCCAGCACCCTGTCTTGCTGAGCCAGACACTCCCGTCTGGCTCCAGACACAGATCCAGGGTCTGAATCACTTGTCCCAAAGCTGCAAGTTTACCTGAAAACAGCTTACAGAAGTGCGCTTGTCTTTAGCGCTCAGATGCTCAACTCCCAATGGAGTCTAAACCCAAATAAATCCGTTTTACCCTGCATAAAGCTTATGCAGGGCAAACTCATAAATTGTTTGCC